AAATAGAGAAAACAAACCAAGAGTAAGTATTGAATTACACTAGGGGAAAAGAGCTCAACAAAAGGAAAAGAGCTCAACAAAAGGAAGAAACTGAAATTAAAAGTATATCCAATTAGCAACTCAGCAAATTGATTAAACTCATACTAATTTTGTAAGTAAATCATTTGAGGTTTAACTTACTTTTGCATCATTTAAAATGCAGTTGGGTTTTGATTAGACAATAAACATTTCCACAATTTGACCTATCATTGAGAAGCACAGAAAATTGGGAATGCTGGGTATATGAAGAGCCAAATCATATTCATATCCTTTAACCAAATAATTACACCTAGAAAACTTTCTTTATCCAATGGGAAAAGACGACCTATAGAAAAAAATCCAAATGACCTTTACTAAGGGAAAATTGGTTAATTAAATAAATTCATATTCAAGGAAATATTACACATTCCCTTGAAATGCCAACTACACAGCAACATGAAAACTGGTTATGGTAATTGATAAGAAGAGTATATTATTTGCAAACAATGACTGCAGTTATGCAGAAAATTGCCTAAATGTTTGAAATCAATGCACTGAAGGATACACAGTGCAGTGGATAATTGACTTTTTTCCCTTTATTTTTTCTTATGTAATATGATACTGCTTTACAAATTTTAAAATATTCTTTGGCCACCTTATCTCATTCATCCTTTGGCCTTCCTGAACACTAGTTCTGCAATGTGAGCATCCATGTGTCTTCGTAATTATTTATTTTATACCCCTTGCTTCTTAGGTACGAGAGGCATAATCTTGTAAATTCAGACACTTGTTCTGTCTCTAATAACTTTATTACTATATTATTCATTAGATTTTTCTTCCACCATATTTATTAAAGTAGTCAGTTATTTTGGTATTTTAATATGACTATAGATGCTATTGGTCCTGCACTATGGGAGTGAAGTCTCAATTAAATTTCACAAATTACATATTTTGAAATCATATATTCACAGATGAAATAAGAATGTTTACCTCCTAACAAATATACATCAAATTGTTTTTTTTTGTAAATATGCCTTGAGCAACTCATCAAAAACAATTTTTTAATTTGCTCATTTCTTTAATTAAGCCCTAGGTTTTGTCCTATGAGCCCCCAAATATCTATTCTCTCTATAATATAGAGGATTAATATTTCATTTTCATTTATTTAAAATCTGTTGACTTGGGGGAGTTGGAAACTTTGTATTTGACAGTTTCAATTAAACATTAATTTCAACTAATTATACTTTGAAGAATTTGCTACTATAAAATTAAAAATCTGAGCAGTGAAAATGACAGAATTTTCTTTGCTCCCAGTGAAAAGTCAAACTGTGGAAATGTTGATTGTCATTTCAAAATCTTATTTCCATGAGGAATATTTTCATTCCCATCCACTGGAAACAGTAATGACCTTTCATCAGAGAAAAACTGAAGATTTGACAACTGCAATCAAATAATCCAAATTACATTCATATGAGTTGATAGTGCTTTGGGTCAATCCTCTCTGGTGCTCAACTGCTTGGATGTAGAGGTGCAGAACATTGAAATATTTTGTGTGTTGAATGCATATTTCAATACATCTATTTCTAGGCTTCAAATAGGAAATGTTCCCAAATAGTTTTCCATATGAAACTATGGTTCCTAAAGTTTCTGTTGGGAAGCAGCATAAATTCCCTTTGCCAAATAAATCACAGGATCGTGTTCACCATTTTTGCTTGAGATTATATTCTTCCCACAGAAAAGGGCAGCTACGATTAAAATATGACCATACTCATTCCCATACAATATAACACAGTCCATCCTCTTGATCACAAAGTATTTGTTTGCCTCCCTTCATTCAAAATTTTTTACTCTCTCCCCAAGGGAAATTACTCAAACAACCTTCCTCAAAGTCAAAGATCCTATGATAATGTGTACATCAGATCTCTGTATGTCTTCTCTTGCTTCAGAAGTCTATGTACTAGGGCACCTGGGTGGCTCAGTTGGTTAAGCCACTGCCTTCGGCTCAGGTCATGGTCCCGGAGTCCCGGGATCGAGTCCGCATCGGGCTCCCTGCTTGGCAGGGAGCCTGCTTCTGCCTCTGACCCTCCCCCCTCTCATGTGCTCTCTCTCTGTCTCAAATAAATAAATTAAAAAAATCTTAAAAAAAAAAAAAAGTCTATGTACTCAAAAGGCAAGTGATTTACACACCTCCCCTCCCCTCAGACCCAATATAATATAGTGAAACTAGGACAACAAACAATACTTCCATACAGAAAGGAGATATAGAAAATATTTATGAAATCTAACTCTATTATGCCTGTGGAAATGCTCCTTTATTTGGTTCAGTTTCCATCCCCTGAAAATAGTTGCTCAGTCTGTAATTTTCTATGGTCTTTGGCTTTTACTTTCTAGGAGATACATATACCTATACACATACATATACATGCATATACATGCATATACATACATATATAAACACATATACATACATACATACACATATACATATATATGCTGCTGTGTCCACGTTTGAATGGCAATGGATATTATGGACATTATTCCCTCTCAAGATGTTGACAGCATGCTCAGCCAGCTTCCTGCTTGTGGAAGTTTAGAGAAATGAGGGATGATGAATTCATTCAAATCTTGACAAGTCACTCTTTTATCCCAGACTGGAGGCTCATTTGCCAGTATAACTCTCACAAAAACTTAGTAATTTTTTTCTCTATTTTTTTTTTTCAATAAATTCCACAGGTCAGTTGTCACATCTGCAATTCTTTTGGAGACATTCCATTACCTCTGAGCTATTCACACCTTGAATTTGGGAGATGTTCTGGTAGAAGCACAATATCAATCTCCTTGTGTCATTTTGTTCAGTGAAAAATATTTACAGATAACAAAATTTAATAGATTAAGAGCTTTTAACAACAGGCTTGATGGCCATACCATTGATTTGATCCTTTCCAGAAAGTTAAACTTTAATTGACATTTATTTTTCAAATAAAGATGAATAAAAAAGAATGAGATCTTGCCATTGTGACAACATGGATGCACCTAGAGGGTATTATGCTAAGTGAAGCAAGTCAGAGAAAGACAAATATATGATTTCAACTTATATTTGGAATCTTAAAATGTGAAACCTGAAATCATAAAACTAAAAGAAAACATAGGCAATAATCTCTTGGATGTGAGCCTTGGCAACATATTTATGGAACTGTTTCCTCAAGCAAAGGAAACAAAAGCAAAAATAAGCAACTGGTACTACACAAAAATATTATTTATAAATAATATAGCTGGTTATTATCCAAAATATATGAAGAATTCATACAACTTAAAGCAGAAAAACAATCAAATTGGAAAATGGGCAGAAGACCTAGAGAGACATTTTTCCAAAGATAACACAGGTGGCCAACAGACATGAAAAGATGTTCAACATCACTCATCATCAGGGAAATACAAATCAAAACCACAATGAGATATCACTTTATACCAGCCAAAATGGCTAAAATCAAAAAGAATAACAAGTTGGTGAGGATGTGGAGAAAAGGGAACCTTCATGCAGTTTTGGTATGAATGCAAACTGGTGCAGCCATTTTGGAAAACAGTATGGAGATTCCTCAAAATATTAAAAATAGAAATATATGATTCAGTAATTCCCCTACTGGATATTTACCAAAATAAAACAAAAACAGTAATTTAGGAAGATATGCCTTCCTTTCATTGCAGCATATTTACAATAGCCAAGATATGGAAGTAATCTAAGTGTCCATCAATAGATGAATGGATAAAGATGAGTACATACATACATACACACACACACACACAAACGAATGTTATTCAGCCATAAAAAAGAATGAACTCTTGCCACTTGCAACAACATGGATTAAGTTAGAGTGTGTAATGCTAAGGGAAATAAGCCAGTTAGAGAAAGACAAATACCATGTGATTTCATTCCTGTGTAGAATTTAAGAAACAAAACAAATGAGCAAAGGGAAAAAAAAAAAGGAGAGGCAAACCAAGAAACAGACCGTTAACTATAGAGAACAAACTGATGGTTACCAGAGGGAAGGTGAGTAGGGGGATGGGTAAAATAGGTGTTGGGGATTAAAGAGTACACTTATCATGATGAGCACTGAGTAATGTATGGAACTGTTAAATCACTATATTGTACACCTGAAATTAACACTATGGTAACTATACTGAATTTTTAAAAATAATACACACACACACACACACACACACAGTGGACTGTTTCTCAGCCATAAAAAGAATAGGATTTTGCCATTTGTAGATGGATCTTGAGGGTATTATGCTTAGTGAAATTCAGAGAAAAATATATAATTTTACTTATGTGGAATCTAAAAAAAAATGAACAAACAAAAAGCAGAAACAGACTCATAAATACAGAAAACAAATTGGTGGTAGCCAAGGGTGGGGGTGGGGGGGAAGGAATGGCTAAATAGATGTAGGGGATTAAGGAGAAAAAAAAGGGATCAAAGATGAAATGTCCACCAAAAAGTCATTGCTTGTAAGAGCAGGGGGACAATGTATGAGCCTTGCTGGCCAATGATTCTGTTTTTTTTTTTTTTTTTTTTTTTTTTTTTTAAGATTTTATTTATTTATTTGAGAGAGAGAGAATGAGAGAGAGCACATGAGAGGGGGGAGGGTCAGAGTGAGAAGCAGACTCCCTGCTGAGCAGGGAGCCCGATATGGGACTTGATCCGGGGACTCCAGGATCATGACCTGAGCCAAAGGCAGTCGCTTAACCAACTGAGCCACCCAGGCGCCCTGATTCTGTTTTCATGTGCTTTATTAGAGAAGAAAATCTAGTTTGCCTGACTAGAATAGTATTGGTTAAAAATAAAACCTCAAAATGTGGACTATGTTCTGTTATGGAATTACCACTTGGATAAATAATTGAGGCTTTTTAAAATTTTTTTATTTCCAAGTGTTTGGCATTATCAGGAAGCATCCTTACTAACCAGGGAACTGATGCTTTTTACCTCCTAAATTGTCCAACAGGAGATGCAGCGACTGGAACTCCATCTGAACTAGCTGCTGCCATGTGGTACCAGACACAATCCCATTAACATCGGAGACCGTTTCCTTCCAAAAAAAAAAAAAAAAGTCTCTTTGTGGTTTGTAATTGCAGCTGAAATCACTTCCTCATTGCAGGTGTGCAGGACATCCCACCAAGGCCTCTACCTTCCAGAAATCTTTTAAATACTCCATAGACCAGTAACAAGTCGACCTTACATAACAAAGGTGCCTACCTTCTTTTCAACATCAGAGAGCACTGGGGAGAATATGTATCATAGTATAGAATCATAACATATATCCTATTGCTCTGATCTATAGGCTTAAAGCTGAAAACATCAAGCTTTCATGATCCTGTGCCTGTATGTAAACACACACACACACACACACACAGAGGACCATGTTCAACCATATTCAGAGTTACAGAACACACAGAAAAAATACACTTCACATCACAAAGATGAGCATATTGTCTATGGAGTATTTTCTTTCCTTATTTTTTATTGATTCTAGTTTTTTAAATGTGAAGATTTTTATCTCAATGAAGCCATATGTTAATAGAGGAGAAAATGCTTTATAGAAGCTATAAAATGCTACTTTAACTCTATCCAACAGGTGTTCGTGTATAAGCTACCTCCTCTTCCTTTTGGCTGAGCCCTGTTTTGGTTCTTCCACTGGAAGTCTGTTTCTTTACTTCAGCTTTGTTTTGATCCACACAGTTTGCATGCATCAGTTCTGCTATTTTTGCCTGCTTAGTTTATAGCGCGCATGTTGAAAGCCCAACAATTCTTTTTAAAAGAAAACAAATTCCCTTATTTATAATTTGCTCTGATAAGGTCAGAAGAATGGCAATTTCTTTTGATAAAGGAGAAAAACATTTTTGGAAGAATTCAGATGAGGCATCTCTTCATCTGGGACTCTTTATTTCTGAAATTAAGTAGGATTAGCATATAACCATAAATGGAAGATGTATTTTTGTGTGCCTGGAATGGCTAAAACAAAATGTAACTCTATGTTCTTGAATGAATGATCCATTTTCTATGTTATGCAAATTTGGTTTTAATGTAGGCTTTCCAAAAGAGGAAATCACATATCCATAAATGAAGAATAAAATATAATAAAAATAAATGCAAGAAGAACTGTTCATCTGCTCAATCAGATCATTTAGTTAGCTATCTGCTTTTAATTATTGTTCTAAGAGAAAGGGTTTTGTGCTGCAAGTCGTGCTTGAACAGCACCCTTCTGAAACCACATGGTTTTGGCTCAGAGACCTGGAGGAAGGGGCCCATCCTGTGAAGAAACCGAATAAACCTATCATGAAATGATTGGATCTCCAACCAGTCTTGTTGTAAATATCATACAAGATATGAATTAACAGATTACATTAATTGGCCTCAGATTGTTACTAATGGAGCTTCTCATAAACTGTGCTGAGCCAAGTTACCAAAACTGTCATTGCAGAAAGCATCTAGCTTTTCATAATTTGTAATCCTTTAAGAAAAATCTAAGGATATTTCCTTAAATTTCAGAAAAATACTGTCATAATACTTTGTGAAAACCACATAAAATGACACTAAAGATTAAATTATTTTCCAAAAATTAGGTGGGTAACTGAAAATGGGATTCCTTCCCACATCTTATACCACCACTATTATTACTATTACTACCACTTACTACTAAAGAGTCAGAGACTCGATAGTAAAAAATAAAGCCATAAAATATTGGAAAATACTGGAAAAAATTTGGACACTTTTTTTATTACCAAATGGGAAAATTTATCTAAGTATGATCTCAAATCATGAGTTCATAGAATTATAAATGTAATCAAATAAGGATACAATTTGTGTATAGCAATAAAATATGTCCTACACAGAAAATGTAACAAGGGACAAGTCTCTTATATGAAAAGTTATATCAATTCTATGCAAATTGACATAAAATATGGAGGGACAGGGTTCACAAGAAAGAAAACAGAATATCTCTTAAATATTGAGAGCTATGTGGCTTCACTCAAAATTAGGGAAAAACTTTTCCAATTTATGTAACATTTAATATATACTTCCACTTTATCCATTCAACTACCGATGGACACTTGGGTTGCTTCCATACCTTGGCTATGGTAAGTAATGCTGCAATAAACATAAGAGTGCATATATCCTTTCAAATTAGTGTTTTTGTATTCTTTGGGTAAAGGCCCAATTTGTAAAATAATTTTTTCAGGAATTATGCACCTTATTACACCTACCTAGATACCTTTCTGATTTATCAAAAATTTTTGTGGATAGTAAATGATTAGTCATTAGACTTGTACAATTCACTTTTTAATTCCAGTGTAATTAATGTACAGTGTTATATTAGTTTCAGGTGTACAATATAGTGATTCAACAATTCTGTTATTACATGTTTTCTTTGGAGAATGTTCTGCCCATTTTTAATTAGATTTTTTTTGGTATTGAGTTATAAGAGTTCTTTATATATTTTGGATACAAACCATTTATCAAATATCTTATTTGCAAATATCTTCTCCCATTCAGTAGGATTTTAGTTTTGTTGATTGTCTCTTGTTTCAGAACTTTCAATTTTGATGTTGATCCAATAGTTTATTTTTGCTTTTGTTTCCCTTGCCTCAGGAGACCTATGTAGAAAGATGTTGTTACAGCCAATGTCAGAGAGACTATTGCCTGTGCCTTTTTCTAGAATTTTTATGGTTTCTGGTCTCACATTTCAGTCCTTAATCCATTTTGAGTTTATTTTTGTGGATGGTGTAATACAGTGGTCTAGTTTCATTATTGTACATGTAGCTGTTCAGTTTTTCCACTACCATTTGTTGAAGAGTGTCTTTTTCCCATTGCATATTTTTTGCCTCCTTTGTCAAAGATTAATTGACCATATAATCATGGGTTTATATTTGGGTTCTCTATACTGTTAAATTGATATACATGTCTATTTTTGTGCAAGTACCATGGTGTTTTGATTACTACAGCTGTTTTTAATTATGTTCAGTTAGCCAACATACTAATTTTTGATGTAGTGTTCAACGATTCATTAGTTGCGCATAACACCCAGTGCTCATCAAAACACATGCCCTCCTTAATACCCATCACCTCATCACCCAGCTTACCTCATCCCCCCACCCCCTCCCTTCTGTAACTCTCAGTTTGTAGTACATCCAAGTGGGATTGTGATACCTCCAGCTTTGTTTTTTTCTTTCTTAGATTGTTTCAGCTACTTGGGGTCTTTTGTGATTCCACAGAAATTTTAGGATTATTTGTTCTAGTTCTGTGAAAAATGCTGTTGGTATTTTGATAGGGTTGCATTAAATGTGTAGATTGCTTTGGGTAGTAGGGACATTTTGACAATATATTTTCTCCCAATCCATGAGCATAGGATATCTTTTCATTAGTTTGTGTCATCTTCAATTTCTTCATCAATGTTTTATAGTTTTCATTGTACAGGTCTTTCACTTCCTTGCTTAAGTTTATTCCTAGGTTCTTTTTGGTGCAATTGTATAGTTGATGTTATGTGTCACATCAGTTGATTTGCAAATATTAAATCACCCTTGTATCCCAGGAATAAATCCTACTTGATCATGGTGAATGATTTTTTAATGTATTATTGGATTTGGTTTGCAAATATTTTGTTGAGGATTTTTGCATCTATGTTCATCAGAGATACTGGCCTGTAGTTTTCTTTTTTTATGGTTTCTTAATCTGGTTTTGGAATCAGGGTATGCTGGCCTCATAGAATGAATTTGAAATCTTTTCTTCCTCCTCTATTCTTTGGAATAGTTTGGGAAAAATAGGTATTAACTCTTCTTTAACTGGTAGAATTCACCTGTGAAGCCATCTGGTCCTGGACTTTTGTTTTGGGGAGTTTTTTTTTTTTTATGGATTCAGTTTCTTTGCTGGTAGTAGGTCTTTCAAGTTTTTCTCTTTCTTCCTGATTCAGCTTTGGGAGGTTATATGTTTCTAGGAATTTACCCATTTCTTCTGAATTGTCCAATTTGTTGGCATATAATTTTTCATAATATTCTCCTACAATCATTTGTATTTCTGTGGTGTCAGTTGTTATTTTTCTCCTTTCATTTATTATTTTGTTTGAGGGTTTTTTTTTTTTCTTTGATGAGTTGGCTAAAAGTTTTATCAATTTTGTTGAATTTTTTATAGAATTACCTAATTTTATTTTTTTAGTTTGTATTTGTTTATGTCTGCTCTAGTCTTTATCTCCCTCTTTCTACTGATATAAGGTTTTATTGTTCTTTGCTAGCTCCCTCGGGTGTAAGGTTTAGTGGTCTGAGATTTTTCTTGCTTCTTGAGGTGGGCCCGTATTGCTATAAACTTTCCTCTTAGACCGGTTTTTGCTGCATCTCAAAGATTTTCGACCATTGTGTTTTCATTTTTATTTGTCTCCATGTTTTTTTTTTTTTTTTTTACCTCCTCTTTGATTTCTTGGTTGACCAATTCATTGTTTAGTAGCATGTCCTTTAACCTCCATATATTTGTGTTCTTCCTAGATTTTTTTCTTGTGGTTGATTTTAAGTTTCATAGCATTGTGGCCAGAAAAGATGCATCATATGACTTCAATCTTTTTCAGTTTGTTGAGACTTGTTTTGTGGCCTATTCTGATCTGTGATCTATTCTGGAGAATATTCCACGTGCACTTGAAAAGAATGTGTATTATGCTGTTTTAGGATAGAATGTTTTTAATATATGTTAAATCCATCTGGTCCAATGTGTCATTCAAAGCTATTGTTTCCTTGTTGATTTTCTGTTTGATCTATCCATTGATGTAAGTAGGGTGTTAAAGCCCTCTATAATTATATGATTGTTACTTCCTTTTTGTTTGTTATTAACTGCTTTATGTATTTGGGTGCCCTCTTGTTGGATGCATATTTACAATTCTTATATCTTCCTTTTGGATTGTTTCTTTATGATTATGTAATGTCCTTGTCTCTTATTACAGTCTTTAAGTCTATTTTATCTGATGTCAGTATTGCTACCCTTTCTTTTCACCTCCATTTGCATAATTTTTTTCCATCACTTCACTTTTAGTCTGTATGTTTCTTTAGGTTTGACATGAGTCTCTTGTAGGCAGCAGATAGATAGATCTTGCATTTTTATCCATTCCATCACCCTATGTCTTTTGACTGGAGTATTTAATCCATTT